AAATTTTGTTGGGAACTTCCCTACCAGTATTGCTTTTCCGGATTTCGCAGCAGCAGAATTTTGTTCCTAAATACCTAGATTTTTCAGAAAGGGAGACTCGAGACTATGTACGTTCGATATTGCCAAAATAAGCCAAAATCGGATTATCTCGTGTCTCAGGAGGATTTTGAACAGGTTGGTTAGCTTGCTGTTTCAAGGCATGCTTCCCCATATTTCATTGTTTTCAGTTCTTTGCCGAGACGAAAGCGAAATTAGGTCATAAAGTAGCGTTGAGCGATTTACTTATAAAGCCGGTGCAGCGTATTATGAAGTACCAACTACTGCTAAAGGATATTTTGAAATTTACTGAAAGAGCCAAGGATAAAACGGAAATTCTGAAAAAGGCACTTGCGGTAGGTATAAGGTTCCACTTCCAAAGAAATCGGCGTAAATGAAAATTTGCAGGTCATGCATGTTGTGCCGAAAGCGTGTGATGATATGATGCAAGTTGGTAGACTACAAAACTTCGATGGAAATCTCAACGCACAAGGGAAGCTTATCTTCCAGGTTAGAACTATATTTCGCAATGTTCTTAGCAAAGAATTTTGTACTTAAAGGGCACTCTTCCTATATCTGATAGTCAAGGCGGAACATCGCAAAAGTCGAAAGACCGTCGAATCTTCTTATTCGAGCAGTCTGTCATCATTGCGGATCATATACCACCTAAAAAAGACTTCGGAAATCCTATCTATATCTTCAAGAACCAGATTATGGTAATATTCTTGAACTAGTTCTCGTCGTTTACTCGGAACGCTATTTTTAGGTAAACAAAATGCTTTTCGAACCTTCTGTGGCCGATGATCCTCTAAAGTTCATCATCCGCAGTTCGGATCCAGCACAACCGACATCGTTTATTGCCACTGCTCAAACCCAGGATGAAAAGGTTTGATGTTTTTTTTTTGATTTCTGGGCAAATGGAAGCACTAACTTTAATGTTTAGAATGAATGGGTACGTTACATTAGCGAACAGCTTGACCAGCAAAAACGTATGCTAGCCGCATTGGTGGATCCACGACGATTTATGGGAGGAGCGACGGACGATTTGAGTGGGGCTATGTCAGGATTGGGCATGTAAGTTCAGATATACTTTCTAAGCAATCTAAAATCCATCTTCGCAAAGGAAAATGTGGCAAATTTCCTCATGCTTATCTATTTTGCTGATCTAGTCATACAATGGTTTTCCAACTTTGTGCTCAAAAATTGACAATAGGTGCAGTATAAAAGGGAAGAACTGTTTGTGGAGATTATTGGGGTTTAATTTACTGATACCGGTATTGTGGTTTTGGGCCATCTACAGGGTGCCCCAAAAAATGTATCGAACGTTTGATCTTCA